GAGGGAAGCTGTCTTTAGGGCAGGCTCGGTTGATGGTCTTGTAATCCACATAGACTCGTCACTTCCCATTTTTCTTGGGCACCACGACCATGTTTGAAATCCACCGAGGGTAGTGCACTTCCTAAATTGCGCATGCCTTCAGCAAGTTCTTCACTTCCTCAGCAACTACCTCAGCGTGATGTAGCGCCGATTTCCTTGTTCACTGAATGACCGGCTTGGCTTCGGGAAAGATGTTGAGGCGATGGAAAATAAAACTCGGATCGAGACCGGGCATGTCGTAAGGTGACCATGGGAAGACTTCGATATTAGCCATTAAAAACTCAACCGTCTTGGCTCTTTCTCGGGCGGTAAGGCTTGAGCCGAGCAAGAAAAACTTCTCCGAGTTCTCTGTATCAATTCGCACTTTCACCAATTCCTCAACGGCTTTGTCCTCGACCTTAGTACCCACATCATCAAGGACTCCCCGGTCTTCTGGTCCCTCAATCATTTGGACGAAGCCCTTGGCAGCCCGGCTCCCGTTCACTGCCACGAAGCATTGCTTCGACATGACTTGATCGCCCCATATCTCCTTAATTGCCCCCATAGCCGAGAGGAATCTCATTACCTGGTGGTAGGTTGATGCCACGGCTTGCATAACGTGAAGCCATCCTCTTCCAAGGATCAGGTTATAAGTAGATGGCACCTGCAACACCTAGAACTCCACCTGCTTTACCACAGACCCTGCTTTGACCGGTAGGATAATCTTTCCCAAAGGCCACTCCGGTTGTGAGTTGAAACCAACCAGTGGCGAGGTTACCGGAGCCAAATCCGTATCTCGGAGCTTGAGCTGTTTGAATGCGTCGTAGTACATGATCTCGACCGAGCTTCCCTGATCAATCAAGATCTGTTTGACATCAAATCCTTTGACGCGGAGTGTAATCACTAGGGCATCGTTGTGCGGCGTCTGAATGCACTCTAGGTCCCTTGAGGAGAAACTGATCACGTCTTTCACTTCGATCTTCCCCTTCTTGATCGCAGGCTGAACCGACAAAACTTCCCTTATGTGTTCTGCCTTCTTGATCATACCGCGGAGCTCGCATACACGCGCCGGTTCCACTATCCCGTGGATGACATTAACAATCCCTTAAGGAGGCGCATCTCGGTCATTCGGTCCTCGCGGGTCAATCGGAGCTTGATTTGTCTTCACGCCTCCATCAATGTAAAGGTCCAGGTGTCCGGCTGCGACTAGCTCTTCCAAGTGTTGCCTCAAAGGCAAACAGTCCTCCGTCTGGTGGCCGTGCTCTCGGTGAAACGTGCAACGGTACCGCGGATTGAAGCCCTTCTGTTCGTCGCCCAACTTAGCAGGAAACCGGATATACTCCTCGTTACGGATTTCACTAAGTATGCGATAGATTGGAATCTTAAAGACCGTGGTGATACCTGTCATGGCCTTCAATCTTCTGTTTGCATCGGCTACGTCATCCCGGGGGTAGTCATCCTGGTCATTCCGACGTCCCCTACCCCGGTTTTTACGATTTGAGCCACGGTTCGATTCCTTAGTGCGGTCATTTGAACGGTTGGACTCTTGTCCGTCCACGTGCACTTTGCCAGCCGACCTCTTGTCCGTTGCTACCAGAATTGCCTTCGCGGTAGATGCTAACGCATCCTCCTCCACTCGAATGTACTCATTGATGCGCTGTATTAGCTGGCCCATGGATGTCGGCTGGTGCATGATAAGAGAGTCCCGCAGTCTATGTCCGACCGGGAGACCACACTTGTACTGTGTGATTGCAAGGTTGACCTTGCAATCCAAGATTTCGTTGAAGGTCTCCCAATATCTGGAGTTGTATGCCTTCAATGTGTCGCTCGGTTCCATCTTGACACTCAGTAAATGATCAACTTCCTTTGGTGTTTTCGTGTTGGTTTTGAAGTGCGTCACAAAGGCCTCGGCCAACTGCTGCCACCTTTCAATGCTCCCCTCCGGCAGCCTCTCGAACCATTTCAAACCCAACTCACCCAAACTCGACGGGAAGATCAAGCACATAAGAGCGTCATTCCGCCTATGTCCGGCCATGGCCTATCAGAAATGACTTATATGCATATACGGGTCGATTTTTCCGTCGTAGAGCGTGAACTTTGGCTGGTGAAAGCTCGCCGGAAGCGGTGCTGTCTCTATATCCACGGAGAATGGAGTGGCACTGAGCCTCGCCAAGTCTGTGTCTACAGGGAGAGGTGCGGCTGGGCGGGATGGAGGCATTCCGACCTCCTCGCTGGCGTGAACCCCATAGGATAGCCGCTGGAACGCCGGCACCCTCTGAGCCTCCCACCGGCGAGCCTGTTCCTTCAAAACTACCCGCAAATCCTATGATTGAGCGGAATAAGAGTACCTCGACGTCGTCACCGGACGTGAGGGCTGGTAAGTGCTATCTTGCGTGCTGGATTTCTCTACATGCACGTCGGAATCTCCAACCTTGTAACTTCTGGTGATAGAAATGGAAGGAGTGTGTTGCTAACTTTAATTGCCTGAACGGGGGGGTTAGGTGCACTCACTGTGGTCTCCCCCTCCAGCTACACCCTTCCCTTTGACATGCCGCTTCAGCTCCTCCATTTCCGCCGCCATTCGTCGGATGACGGCATCCTAGTCCTTTAGTTTGTGCTCTAGAGATCTGGCGTGCGATTCTCTCCCCCACCGATAACCTTCTGGACTCTGTGAATGACCATAACTTCTTCCGCGCTTATCGCGCGCGTCTCCTGAGTGTCTTCCTAGAGAAGTCTCCAGGTCTGCCATCGGAGGAATGATGGAGGGATGTCCTTCTCTCCTTCTGCCCGACTCCGAGGTAACTCCGTCGACGGCGGACAGCGGAATCTCTTCGTTGTTCGCCATGGACGGCGATCAGATGAGCCTGGAAGACAAGGTTTTGTCTGCAATGTTCCCACAGACGGCGCCAATTGTGCGGAGAACAAATATTCAAGCAAGCCTACACTCCTTTCTTCCAAGTTCCTGCTTGTCCGATCGACCTGCGAACACAACGAGGGTAAGCTACCTGGTGGTGTGTGGCCGGAAAACCCCTCCGACGATCAAGTTAGACACACACACACCAGGGATAGAGAGAGAGAGAGAGAGAACTGAGTTGTGTTTAGTGTTTATCTCACCAAAAATGTGTCATCCTCAGTATGGGGGGCGCAGACTCACTTATATACCTTCTGCGCTCCAAATCTACTCTCATTAGTCTCTCGACATGTGGTACTGCTATCCCATCTGTCAGCACAGATCTTGTTGAACATCACCTAATTCCAACTGCCAGCCCACTCTACTGGGAGCTCGGCAGCCGGATTGCAGTATCTCGGCTGCCAACGGCCATGCTGCACTTCAAGCCCAAGCGTTCCAATAACCAAGCTCATTGAGGACCGAGCTCGGCTACATCCCGGCATAGCCGAGCTTGGGACAGCTCATACTAGTTTGCCACCGGCCTTCCTGCCGAGCTAAATCATGCACCGTGGAACCTCCACACCTTGCCTGGCGCCGGTCATCTCACTCGACCGGCTTCTATACCATGAAGCCAAACAGCTCGACCGACCACGCCTTACCTTAACCGAGCAAAACCTTTCAGGATAGACCCGTTTTACCGCGGCCCAAACTTGTTCGGTCCAAATTTGCCCGGCCATTACCACGACCCAAACCAAACCATAAATCTCCCTCTCAATACACATTATATAATAATATAAAATAATAACATTAATGTTATTTAATTTGTGTATAAAATTTCTTATGTATTGGTCCTTTCCCTTCTATCTCCTCCCCCAATATTAAGGGTTGGTTTGGCATAACCTATATAATCCATCTTTTTATCTTTTTATCTTTTTTTATCACATCACCTCTCTACTTTTCTGCACATCTTTTCGTAAAAAGACAAAAAGTGCACTTTTTTAAGACACCTCAAGCCAAATATTAACATTAAATATCAATATTAAATATACGGTTCTGCTTCATACACCCAGTGGGGGTCGCACCCCCAGTGACGTGGCGCGCCCCCACTGGTCGAAAATCAAAAAAAAAAAAAAAAAAAAAACTGTTTTTTTCGGACCAACCCCCAACTGACACCTCACTGGGTGTCACCTCCAGCTGGGGGTAAAATGCATTTTCCTTAAATATAAGAGTATAAGAGTCTAAGAAAATAATATAACTTAAAAGAAATGATTTTATGAAATAAAAATATAAATACATCAAATTGAGTGAGTTAAAAAATTCTTTCATAAACTTTTTGAGGCATAGTTTGGGAAGTTGGTTTTGGTGGGTTAGGGGCTAAAATAGCCACAAAAAATAAAATAGGCTATTTTAGTCACAAAAAATAAAATGTCAAATCCAACCCATAATCATTATACTCCTCTCTCACAAAAAAGTCAAAAAAGCCAAAAAGTCCTTCCCAAATCAGGCTTTTTAGCCCCAGGCTAAAATAGTTAAAAAGTCAAAAAATCAAAAAGCCAACCCACTTTCCAAACGGAGGCTGAATTAAAACATTTCTAAATAAAATTTAGGATAATGATTGGTGGCCACAAATTCTGTGGTTCAAATGCCAAAACGACGTCGTTTTTGGTACAAAACAACTCTGAAAATGCCAAAACGACGTCGTTTTGACATTTTCAAACCATTTGAACCACAGAATTTATGACTACCAAATATTTTCCTAAAATTTATTAATAAAAATCTCTAATTAAAAATCAAAAATTAATTTTTAATCATCTTTTCAAAATCCTCTTAATATCACTATCATCTCAATTTTACCCTAAAACTATCCTAATTCAAACAATCAAACATCATGTACTGCTTGACGAACACCCGCAAATCTAGGAATAAATTGCCTGATGTCGAAACCAACCATGGAAACTCATTTGAACCGCACTCAATCCAACTCTGATTGGTCTGGTCTACGTCATCGCATGGGTCGGTGTTTACATGTCTTTCCAAGACCCATCCTCTGTATATACTAATTTAAAATTCCATTTTAACCCCAAAAAAACCAAAAACTCAATCAAGACGATAAACAAGTATTATTATCCAATTATATATACACTCACACACACGCATTACACAGGTACAGAGGTTCCGACAAGCTTCAAAAACAAATACCCAATAATAATGAAGTTTCACTAGTTTTTATTCTTTGTATTCGGCTTTATACTCTCAGTTCACTTGTAGTTCTTCGAAAACGCCTCGATTCAAGAACTGGGTTGTCGACAGATCTTGAATTTAGAGCTCTACGAATTCAGTTTTTGACTTTGGAGACCCATAAAGGCAAGAAATAACCTGACCCAGTTCACACTGTTTTTAATGATCACTTTTTTCCTTTTTGTGCTTTAAATTCTCTGTTCATATTGGTGTGCTTTTTTGGTGGATTCAAGTTAAATCTTGTTGGAAACCGTGAGATCTGAGTTACTGTTTTGCTTTGCTTTCCTCTGTTTTCGGTGGTGATGGTGTTTTTTCTTGAGAAAAAGTTGAGAGCTTTATTGGAATCTGTTGTTTTGTTGATGTAACTGTTCATGGATTTTTGCCTATTTTTAGGTCTACCTGAGAATTTTGTGTAGCTCAGGCTTGCTTTTGGTTTATTGGTTTTTGCTTTTTCTGGGTTTAGGGTTCTATTGGCAATTTTGCAATTTTATGTGTACTTCAGCTCAAGCTAGGTCTCTGGATTCATGTAGTTGTTTGATTCTTATGCTGTGTTTTAAGTTTTGATAATCCTAAACCGACACTTCTGGGTTCTGGGTTTTGGAAATCTTTTCTTTATTCCAGCTAATTCTAGGATTTGGATTTGTGGGCTTGTTCTTGGTGTTGAGTTTTGAGTTCCAAGAATCATAGCATTCTAAAATTTATAATCAAATTTGTGGAATTTTTGTACTATTAGGAGAGCAGGAGCTTCAAAGTACTATCTAGGGTTTTGATTTGAGCTTTTCTCTTAATTTCCAAGATATTGGATTTTGAGTTCTAAGAAAAACAACAAGTTTGAAATTTGGCTTTGAATTTCAGTCTTGGGCCTTACTATGATCTTGATTTGATGATTATTGTTCTTGTTATTGGCTTTTCAAGTACTAGGGTTTTGATGTGAAGTAGCTTGGTTCTTCAATCCATTTTTTCTTCAATTTTTTCAGGTTTAATTTCTTGTTGGTGCCATGGATTCCCCTCAATCCGTCGTCTCACCGTTCAAGGGCTCCCCTGTTTTTGGCGACCCTGAGAAGCAGAAATCTGACCTTTTTGCTCGGAATTTGTCATTTGAAGTTCAAAGCAAGAACACCGGGGGGCTTAACTTAAAAAGTCCCATTGGCGTTCTTGATGTCTATATACATCAGGCTAGGGACATCCATAACATCTGCATATACCATAAACAAGATGTTTATGCTAAGATTTGCCTCACTAGTGATCCTGAAAATGCTGTCTCGACTCAGATCATCAATGGCGGTGGGAAGAATCCGGTTTTCAATGAAAAACTTCGGCTCAATGTCCGGACAATAGGTTCCTCACTCAAATGTGAGATATGGATGTTGAGCCGGGTGAGGAATTATCTCGAGGACCAGTTGTTAGGGTTTGCTTTGGTACCACTGTCCGAAATCCTTATCAAGAATGGGAATTTGCAAAAAGAGTTTGAACTTTCCTCAACCGATCTCTTCCATTCCCCGGCAGGGTTTGTTCAGTTGTCGCTCTCGTATAGTGGCGCTTCACCAGACGTGATAGTGCTTCCTTCACCGCCTGCTGCCGTGGCTGAAAACACAATTGTCGATGATTCAGAAGTGACTGAGTCGGATCCAAGCGAATTCGACAAGATTGAGTTCCCGGATCCAAACATTGTGAACGAGAATCATCGGATGGTTTCAGAGTACTTTGAAATCCAATGTACCAATTTGGACTCCCAGAGCTCTGAGAGCTTGGCGACTTCCGATACTGAAAATCAACAAAGTTCAGACATTGGCAGCGAAAGCTTCTCAACTGGCATTATCGAGTCAATCCAGCCTCCTAAGCATGATTCTCCCCCGAGCAGCGTGTCGACTAACGGGTCATGTGACACTCCTGGTGCTTCAAAGTCTCAGAATCATGAATCTGTTTCGCCTCCAAAGCAAAATCTGAAAGAGAAAAGAGAAGATATCGGAGATGCAGAGAGTAATGTCTCGGATGTTGCGTCTGTCGATACATTTGTCAAGCCTGTTGTCACTGTGAACTTTGAACCGGAGCAAAAGGTTGTGCAGCAAGACATAGTGGACATGTACATGAAAAGTATGCAGCAATTTACTGAGTCGTTGGCGAAGATGAAGCTTCCGATGGACATTGAGAGTGGTCCTACGAGCTCCGAGAGTTCGAGTTCTGATCAGAAATTGCAGGCATCAAAGAACACCGGCTCGCGAGTGTTTTATGGGAGTAGGGCTTTCTTCTGATGTGAGCTTTTGTTTCAATGGAGATCGGAAGAGGAAACAAAACAAGTGACTTTAGAAATTAGAATCAAAAGACTAATGTTTAATGGTAATGTTGTTGTAATGTAGCAGTAGTATGTACTATGTAGTGTTGTGCTATCCTTGTATGTTGGGATGTTCAGATGACTGGAAAAACTCACAACCTTGTATGTGTTACAAGCTTTGTTCGATCACATTTTCCTCTTTTGTTATGGAATTGTTGTGTTTTGCTACTCTTTGATGCTGTGAAAATGAACATTTCAAATTACTTTCTCCTGTCCTTTTGTCAGTGATTGTGCAATTCAAATAAAAGGGTCCGATATGGTCCGATCTATAGCATACATAGTGTGTCCTTTTAATAGTTTGGGAATATATGATCGTTTTATCTCTTATTTTTCAAACAAGATAGTAGTTTTTCAATTTGCAATTTGCATCACTTGATCGCAGATCTAACTTGTGTAAGGATAATTTGGTATTTTTGTTATGAAATGTAGTCTAGTTCGGGGGAGGTTTATCTTGCTTTATGAACTTGTCTTGATCATAATGAAATTACACTGACTGTGAATGTGCACTTAATTTTGGAGTGAATCACCCAAATCTTATTGCGATTGACGTATTTGTATGATCAACCAACCAACCATAGATCCACTCCAACGGAACTTCTTCAATGTATAACATGATCTGCATGGACAAACACGGCCAAAGAACCTTTTGTCTCCAATTTTTTTTTTTTTTTTTTTTGCCTTCTTATCTCAAAACATTTTCAATTATTGGATCATATAAGAATTTCAAAATAAGATTTAGTTATTAAAAGTGCATTGAAATAAGAAGATAGAAATTTAAAGATCAAAGACGTCATGTCAACGATGCGATAGATTTTTCATGAAATCACATGGAGCATTTGAAGTGTGATGATTAAAATTGTGTATTAAATTTATTGTGACATATCATCATTGCATTAGTACAATGCATCCTATTTTAAAGAGGGAAAAAGAGCAAATGAGGAAATTATTATTTTTTTTTTTTACAAATTTAAAATTCAAAATTACCTTTTTCAACAGATAAAAATTCTGCTCTCTCTCTCTCTATTCCCACGTGAGAATGAATCCAATAAAGCAGAAGAAAAGGGCAAAATGAATGTTGGACAAATTAACCTTATTTTATGGGATCATAATCATGCTGAAAGTACAAAATAAGTACCTAAATATTTGAATGCCAGAAAGTGCTATTATTACATAATTTTTTTTACCAAATCTCCAAACTCAAAATGAAAACGGAAAAAAAGAAAAGAAAAGAGAAAAGACTATAAAACAAGGAAAAAAAATATATATTCTTGTTCTTTGGGGAAGGAGGAACTGGTTTGGCAAAATGAAGTGTACAACTGTTTAGAGCACTGGATAGTTGTACAATTCTTTGCACAAGCCAAAAGCCGTTTTAGCCAAAGCATCAACCTCTTGTGCAACAAAAGTTGGGAAGAGATTCTCCACTAGGATTCTTAAATATGCTTTTTAAAACAATCACATATAAGCTGCAAGCAACTAGTGTGTATGTAATGTGTGTACACAACTTGTGTACGTCTCTTTAATTTTTAGGTTTTGGATTGGGGGACACTGGATGATCGATGACATGACACAAATCATAACCTCAAAGATCATATACCAACATGTAATGAACTTATTATATGAAAAACCATAAACAAGACCTCTAGAATAAAAGGAATTCGTTATTTCGAGAATACCTACTCAGACTACTCAAACATTTGAAATATTCAATGGTATGTCGCGGATCATAACCTTGAATATCAGAAACCAACATGTAATGAAATTACTAGTCAATCGACCTTGAATAAGAAAGTTTTAGCAGTGTCAGAAGAACTATTCAAACACAAAAAGATGAGAAGAAAAGCAACATCTATATCATGCACAAATGAAGTTTAAACATGCCAAATAGACAATCAATAGTAGAAAATGAATCAGGATATTCAGTAATTTATTTAATGGGGATCCAAGGTCGGTATCCCTCTAATGTTTCACACTAGTAAAAATCAAGCAGAACCTCACATACAATCTGAGAGAAAAAAACATCCCAGAGAAGAAAAAAAAGGATGTACGGACAAGAGTAGCAACTGTGCCACACGTCACAAGGGATAAAAAGAACAAATAAAACCAAAAGAATTAATACTCTATTTTTTGATGTACTACCAGTGGTACCATGCCGGAGAGATGCTCAACTCTTCATCTCAATCAAATTCCAAGAAACAAACCTAATAAAAAAACAAATTCAAACCTTCACAAAATCCCTTGTAATTGGTCTCTCTGAATAAGTATATTTCATATCAGGGACCCCCGTTAGCTTTATATGACCAATTTCCTTATAATCTGATGTATTAATTTATGAGGGGATGTGTATGAAATTCAGTCTCTTCACATGTTTCACTGGAATCTTTTCGCCTACAGTTACCTTCTGATATTTGAACATTAAGTCTTCTATGCAGCAATTCCTGAAGCAAGCGATGACCAAAAAATTAGTATGATGGAAAGCATTTGAAGTAGAATTCAGAAGGTTAAATGCATAGAACTTTAGATTAAACAATACTCACTTTGAAATTTACATCTAAGATTCAAAGGTAGATCTCATTTTGATAATTACAAAAATCTGGAGTTGTTTGGGATGTTCTAAATAAGTACTATTTTTGACTTTTTATGAAATATGGGTTGAGTTTGAAGTGATGTGATAGAGAGGTGATGTGACTTAAATAAGATGATGTGACTTAAATAGGATAGTTACTTTTTGACTTTTTTTTAAGATGCCAAACTTAGCCTAAATGTAGTTCACGAACTTCAGCACTACATTCAAGAAAAGAAAAAAAAAATGATTTTAAGATAAACTCATTTCAGAGGGTTGGCAAGGCCTACTCTGTGAATTGGTAAATCTGTATTATTTCAAATATTCACTTGAACATTCAAGCAAAGCAACTAAAATTTTCGGCAACAATGTTAATGATAACACCTGAATTTTCTCAAAATATGATGCACATATTGCAGAACTGAGATGAGCCTAAAACTAAGAGTAACAATCGTCATGATTGTTTACTCTTTGACGCAAAAACATCATAAGACTGGGCCTCAATTGTGTGATCTATGAAGCACAGATATCGATGTAGAAACGGACATGGACATGGTGATTTCAGAAAAATTAGGACACATACATGGACACAGCGGGGATACAACAACTACATATATAATTTGTTATGTATTCAAAAATTGTATCCATGAACAACAAAAATTAATGAAAACTGATCCCATTTCAATGTTAAAAATCAGCCAGAGATTGGGCATGTGTTGTGTTAGGTCTCCAAGGATCGTTACAAGCCAGTCTGCCAACTTCATAACTATAATTATGTGTTGTGTTGTCGATGGTTTGATATGAGTTGTATATAGGTTTTTTATAAATAAAAATTTAAAAAAATAAAATAAATCAATTCTCATGTTATGATAAAAACTGAAGCTTCTGTCAGATCAAATAAATTAAAGTTGATGAAAGTTCAACATCTGGTTTCCAATATTCAACTGAAACTGCTTTAGGATCTATTACAGATTTTTTTTTTTTCATTTAAAAAACACTTATTTTGTAGTTAACATGTTCAAATCAAACAAAGAAATCTATGATACATACTACATTTTTACTTAATTTTGTTAAGGTCAAAACTTAATTTAGAAAAGATAATACAGAACAGGCAGGCACACGGATGCAACCACATTGTTATGAGGCTCTTGGATCAACAAGAGGTCCCAGGTTCAACCCCTACCGTGGACAATGCCGATACACAGATTTGCAGGCTACCGTATATGCGTGTGTTGGGGAGAAGAGGGTTGGTGGCGGGGACCCCACTTTATGGAAAAAATAAAAATAAGAAAGTACAAACAACCAAATGAAGGGGAAGAACATTTTTACCTCTATTTGCCTGTCTATTTGCTATGCTATAACTTCCGACATAACCCTCAGAACCTTTAGCTGAGACATCTGTTGCATTACTGAGTCCATAACCAAACGAACCCGAACCATCTATCTCAGAAGATGCAGACCTCCAAGTCGAATCACCATACACTGAATCACCGCGATACAAGTCTCCGTAGGACCCCTCATAACCACCACTCGAAACAGCAAATGATGATGTTGCAGCTACATTTGTGCCACTGTTTCTTCCAAATCCTCCACTGCCCAATCCATAGTTGTTTTCTCCACCCGAATACCCTATAGTTCCAGTGGTATAGCCAGAAGAATTGCCACCACCTTGAGGAGAAATAGTAGAACCCCAATTCGCTCCATTGTTTCCAAACACTCCAAAACTCCCACCTCCAGAGCCCAAGTAGTTATTAGGGCTACCAGTGTTTGCAGCATTATTCAGGCCACTATTTCCCCAGACATTCCGAGTCGGCGAGGTTAAAAGAGAATCATTTCGAACGTTAGTGACACCATATCCAATGGGAGTACTATATCTGTTTGAATTGCCACTATAATAAGGACTCAAAACCCGTCCATATCCAACATTATTACTAAAGTTTGAGCTTCCTCCAAAATTCAAGCTCAGCCCCGGGTCCAAATTCACACCCATTCCATAACCAAGAGAACCAAATGGAGAGAAAGTATTACGACTACTACCAATTGGATTAAATCTACCATCCATCCGGGCTCCATAGCCTCCAACAGGGCTCAGATTATATCCCTGAGCATAGCTATTAAGGAAGCTGTTGGCCCTACTTATACCATAGTTATATCCAATCAGAGGGCTCCGGCTGGGCCCGGGGGATAGCTCTTTTGGAACTGCCCGCTTGACCTCAACCATTTTACCATTGAGTTCATGAAAGGTTTTATGCAACACCCTATCCACTGATTCCTCGGAATCATAAGTGATGAATCCAAAGCCTCTTGGCCTTTGGGTGTTGTGATCGTACATAACCACAACATCAGTGATCGTACCAAACTGATCAAAGTACTTCTTAAAGTCACTCTCAGTGACTGAAGATGCTAAACCTCCTACAAAAATCTTTTTTGTGCGGCCAGAACCAGGAGATCCTTGAATGCTGCTATTGTTTCTGTTTAAAATGTGCTGATCATCCCTTGGAACAGCCTTCTTTGCTTCAACCTGAAAATATAGAACCCAAAAACAATTGAGTGGTGAATTAAATAATTACATTCCATATAAGAAAAATGGGGTTGAGGCAGGGGTGAGTGACATGCAATGTGGGTAAAAAAGGATATGAATTTATTTAGTTTAACTAATCATATAGCCCTTCACAGTGCGGAATGATGAAAAATTATTGATACAACCAACACTACTTGGTTGGGACACAAGGTTTAATTTGGTATATTGAAAAAAGGTCGAATCTTTAAAGACTCTAGATAGTCTTGGCAACAAACAATTTTCTTGTTCATACACTTTTTATCGTTAGATTGCCAAGAAAGTGAAATTGTTTTTAGAGCTAATCAGAAAGAAAGAAACATCGCTTGAACTAGAATGTGACATTTTTAGGTTCCATCCCTAGAGAAATCAGGTAAAATAACAAATGATGAATCATTGCGTAATGTGTTAACAAAATCTGAAATCGTTTGACTTACTGTTCGACCATCAATCATGTGCTTCTCCTTAACCACTCTTTCAGCAACAGCAGGATCAGCAAAGACAACAAAACCAAAGCCACGAGCACGACCCGTAGCTCGATCTCTCATAATCACTGCCTCCACCACTTCACCATATGTGTCGAAATATTCTTTAAGGCGATTCTCATCCGTGTCCCAGGAAATCCCACCTATGAATAGTTTACCGAAATCTGATTCCATTTTCTACAATCCCACATTAAATTATCCCATTAATCAACATTCTCAATCTCACAATTCAATCATAATCCAACTAAGAAAGCAGTTGTCCAATCAATTCAAATTTAAATTTACTTGGCATCGAAATTCTATTCAAACACAAGCAAGAATTTTCAACAGGATCTAAATTATACAAAGAATTGATCTTTCTAAAATTAAAAAGCAAAATTAAAGATAAAAACATACAAAGATGATGATCTATATACAGAAACCAATCCAACAGATCGAAATGTGGATAGAAAAGCGATGAAACAAGGGGAAAAAACATACCTTATCCAAATTTAGTCAGAAGTCAGTGAAGACTCCGATCAAACACAAGGTGGGTATAGTCGAATTCAATCCAGGAACATCGGATCCTTCATGAATCTATCAAATCTCACTCAGACATTCCTGAGAAATCAAAATTCAAGTGGATCAGAGACACCCAACAGAGATTGATGAAGATCAAGGAGAGAGAGAAGAGAGAGTCAAACCAAAAGGGTATAGAAAATTCACCATTTGAAGAGAAACCCAGCTGGGAAAATGGAAGAAACTAAGATCTAAGAAGAGGCATATGCATAATAATCATAATAAAACAGAGGAGGTGCTCATCATCTCTCTCTCTTCTCCCCAAAGGTTGTCCTTCTCTCCTTTTCTCTTTCTTGGTTATTCCCCTCCCTTTTTAATTAAATCAAAAGAAATGGAATTTCTAGCTGTAGGTAAGAAACAATATACAAATATAGAGAGAGAAAGAGAAGAGGCAGAGAGAGAGAGAGAGAGAGAGAGAGAGAGGCAATCCTCTGGTGTAAGAATATTTGGAGGAGCGTAAGAGAGATGACAGGAGAAGATAGTCTTTTAAAAATGTGGATTAAAAAAAAAAAAATCCATAAATTAATTTTTTTTTTTTAATTTATAGATATAGATTTAATTATAGGAAAGAACAAAAAATAAGTAAATTGTTTATTAAAAATTAAAAATTTTAAAATGTATTTAATCTTGATTTATTTATTTTTGAATTAGTTTCAAATCAATTTTTAATTAATTGAGTTGAATATCTTTTTATAATTTTGTTATGTCAAGTCTACCTCAAGAAATTAATAAGCTTTGAAATATATTTAAACTTAACTTGTTTAATAATTAATCAATATATGGGTGTGTTTAGGATTTTTTATTTTTTATATGGTGTTGAAATTTGGAGTTTACATAATAAGTGTTTAATTATTTAATCAAAATTAAAATCTTGACGTTGACTCCACAATATGTTTAACAACCTAAAATAGTTTCCACAGAACTTTCGATTTTTATTTCATAATTAAATTTATGCATGTTACCTCATGCCAATGCCAACCATTAGAAAAACTCCCTGGCCTTTGGCATAGTTTTTTTATTTTGATTTTGATTTTTTTTAGATTTGTTTTTGAAAACACAGGTTTTTTCAAACTTCTCATTAATGAAACAAAGATAGAAAAATTTCAAAAACAACTATTTTTCGAAATATTAGACTTGCAATGACTTATGAATTTGTGAAAGAAAATGAATAAAATAAAAAGAAATTAAGGTGAAAGTTCTTTTATTCCACTTGATTTTCCTTTCTTTTAATCCAAATATAGTATAAGAGTATTTTTTTTTTTTTTGGCGTTACACTTTAGATTATTACAACAGACTGATATCACTCTATTGACTTAAACTGATGTTTCATCTCACTGGCCCCTAAATGCCCTTACATAACTACTTGAACTACAACTCAAATCACAAAAGTATATTATTATTGGTAATTTGGTAGAGTAACTTTTTAATTTGTTGAAAGAATAAGAAATAATGACCTAGATGGCAATAACTTTTCAATTTATTCAAAGAACAAGAAATAATGACCTAGATGGCAAGACAAATACTTTTTGGACCACATGAATTATTATCCAACTTAGACCCTGGATGATGATAAGTCTAGATTTGGGTTGCACCAACTATGATAAATCAGATACATACTAATGCCTAAAGACCCTAGTTTTTGGAACTTATAGTAACTAGTCCATTTCTTTCCATTGAATTTACATCTTCATCCTCATATCAAAATTATCCTACAACTAAATAGGTTGTAAAATGCTAACAAATCTCCAATTTACGGTTAAACAATGTACTTTTAGCATACAAAATATTAAATCAAGATTTTTCAACTAAAATTGCATAACCAGTGATTTTCTTGTCGAAATTCAAACAAAACATGTCAATTTTGAATTTTGGCTAATATATGGTCTTCTCTGCTTTTTTAATTAAAAAAAAAAATTATGCTTTTTTGATTGTTTAATTTCCTTGAGTTTTGTCATGTCATTACAAATTCAAGATGCACCAAATTCTTTTTATTATTGTTATTTATGCAAGGCATTAAAAATGCAACAAATACTTGTGGGAGGGGTTCAATATGGTAGAATCTACACAAGGGCAAAAATGGAAGAATCTGTCTGGTACGTATCTAGAGACTAGTTGAAATAAAGTTTTAGATACAAAAATACAAAACTCAATTAATATTAAAAACAAGAGATGAAAAGCTAGCATCTTAAACTGATTCAGTGTGATCAAGAAGTCTTGGGGTATCTTACATCACCATCTGATGAGATGACTATCAGATGAGGTGAGAGGTGATCCACATCATTGGCAAATTATCTTTCTGGATCAGATCAGATCAGATGGATGATTAAAATTCACTCAAAAGCTTATGGTTACCTTCTCTTCTAAGTGTATATAGACATAGCCATTCATTTACCCCATTAGTACTACCTTGCAATAATATCTACCAAACCTGTCTAATTGGCTAGTTACCTCATGTCTTCAGATTGAGACGACAGTCAGCTGATCCATGAATTTAATGTAGAACAAATATTTCAAAACTGATTATAGAATTGAATACAAAATATATATAGTAATATTAAGAACACAGAAATTAAACATGAAATATGATACAAATTTCTCATAAAGAGTAGATTCTACATGTGGGTCCTACATCATCTGAGCTCCATCTATTATGAGACATTTGTGTCTCATCATGTGTTTGGTCCTCTATATACCTGATTGATTGATAAATGAATAAATAGGATTTTTCAAAAGCAAACCTTACTAATAAAATCTCATAAAATTTTGTCTATTCATACATATGTGTATTCTATATTTAATTCTATGTTTAGTTTCTATGTTGATAACAAAACTGATAAATATATTTATTCAAACATTACAAGAATCCCTAAACATGGACTTATTATATATATATATATATATATATATATTTCACATGTCTTGTGAAGATGTTGCATTTATGCTCTAAAAATTTTAGTCATTCACCTCTGAAATTTTCATTACCTTCAAATTTTAAAATGATTGTGAAGAGTAATTCATAGATGGTAATCTTTTAGGTCCTGTTTGATTGGTTGTAATAAGAGTGATGGAATTTATAATTTTGTGAGATTAATCATTGAATTAATAAGCCTACAGATTGTCAATGCCTGCCATTTTTAGTATTAAATATCCTACAATTTTATGAGATTGAAAGTCATATGTACTGTAAGAAATACACGTCTCTGAACTAATAATTCAATCCTATGTTTTAATCTAGCAATCAAACAGCCCTTTACACTTTAGAAGCCAATACTGTTGTTAACACTGTAGAAGAATTCAATAATGACCATGAGATTAATGTGAGCTGTGACTTTTCAACTTAAATGCAACACATGTTTTCTTATCCTCACAAAATAATAATTGTTGGTGGGTCCTAGATTTTATGCATATTTTCTTTCATCATGTCTTGATTGATGTAATTAGAATTATTATTTGATCTTGAATCTTTATTGTTAGCCAAAAATAATAAATAAATAAATAATTTGTTGGGACACTAAAAAATTTACACTCAATTGTATCAAACAAAATGCAGGAATTTGCCAAAATAATCTTCTGGTGATATGTATGGGTCTATCACTTCATATTGGTGATGCATTGTTTCTTTTCTTTTCTTTTCTTTTCTTATCTTTTTGGTTTATAGGTGATTGTGCAGCAAACTCTTTCAAGAAAAGTGTGATGTCCTTGCCACATCTATCAAACCCAGTTGTCTGAAGAGATTGACAAAAGGTGTACATGAATCACCATGTTCATGCATTGATATCAAACTAGTGATGGTGAATGCAAAAGTATTTAAATCTATGTTTGTATTATGAATTTGGATAGAGATTTATAAACGGAAAAGGAAAATGTAAGTGAAATGTAACTATAATTCATTTACATTTTACCCTTTTTTTTCTTTTTTTTTTTCAAATCCCTATCCAAATTCATGATCTAAACGCAACCTAAAGGTGGATTCTCATAATTTAGCAAAACAATAAACAAAATATTATAACTGACTCACCTCTAAGATGTTTTGATATGTTAAAAAGTATTCAAGAAAATGCACCTAACCTTAGTAAGTCCAAATGAGCTTTGCTGGATCTGTGACATGAATTACCTAAACCACAAGGATTTTATAACAACAATTTTTAACTATCAGATTTGGAACAAAGCTTAATAAAGTTAGGAAAATAAAAAATCACCGTAATTTTTATACAGAATTTGCTTCTAGAATGATATAGCAGCGACATACTTGTAAATTATTAGGTAATATGTTTTTAAATAAAGGAATTACAAAATGACATCATTCTATTTATATGTCAGTACTCTTATATGCATCTCTGCACATATTTGAGCTTAAAAGGAGAAAACAAACAATCATACTGTGGTCAAAAAAATGCTAAAACAAGTGGTTTATTCAATTTTGGCATATATGCTATTCCTACTCAATGGACAAAAAGTTCAAACTCCTCCAAATCACAAGAAAAAAGTACTTCAGCAGTACACAAGAGCACAACTCCGGATCCTTTGTCCCAATTCTCTGTAACATTCTCCATTTGTTGTCCCTTGTCGCCACCACTTATAGAGTTGCTCAAAGATTTCCATGTTTTTTACACGAGCCATTAAGTGGCAGCGTGATAATTTTTTTTAAGTAGTATCAAAGTGGCAACACGTGGAGAATGAGACAGAGAATTGAGACAGAGGAGTCCATATACGCCATACCCAAGAGCACCACTGTCTTCATTGGTTTGATTCAATGAGGTATCGTATGCAAATATCATTCTTGTTGGCTGGATGCCACCGAAGAAATGGGTGACGGAGAAACGTCTTCTTGTGCATGCACAACCTCCTCTATCTTCTCCACAACCTCAGCAATGCTAGGCCGGTTCTCTGGGAAATGCGCCACACACTTGAGGGAAACATTTAGCAATGGAAAAGCATACATTCCAACATTTGTAAGCTCCTTGTCAAACACCTCCCCAGTCCACTCCTCCCTCACCATGGACTTCACCCATCTAGGAAGGTCTAACCCACTTTTTTCCACCGTCTTTCCAGTGAGAAACTCCAGGAGAATCACACCAAAGCTGAACACATCGGCTTGTTCTGATGGGCTTTTCTCTGGAGCTGTGTAACCGTTGGAATTGAAAAGGGAAGCTCTCATGGGGTCTAGAAATTTGGAGAATCCGTATTCGCTTATGAGTGGTTCTTCATTTTCATTCAAGAGAATATTTGAAGGCTTGATGTTCCCATGAGGGATGATTTCCTCATCATTGGATCTGTGATATATGAAATTCAAGCCCTTTGCGATTCCAACTGCAATGGAAATCCGAAGTTTCCATGGGAAATCCCTCTTGCCTTCAGCATAGTCTGCAGAATCAATCAAAACTTGCTAAGATCAAGGAAGATAACACATTTGTCCAAGTTTTGGTAGTCTAAATTTTTCAATAAGATTTAGTCTAGGCTGTGCAAGACAATGCTAGAAAAAATTATTGTGTTGTTCTCTGGTGAATCTAACGAACTGATGTTACTGTAAATGAAATTAGCGGCATGAAAATAAATCAGATAGGCAAAGTAACTGTCAATTTCAAGCAATCCATGAAGTCATTCTCTTGGGGCTGCCCAAAACAGCAACCATACTGATTGTGACTACTTGGAGATCCACGATCGGATTTGGAAACTTCGAAGACTTTTTGGTCCAATAATTGTTAGATTTATTTTTTTATTATTTGAATTATTTCAGCTTGGATTTAACTAAATATTTTCTTAGAATATTTGATATCTTTCCAAATATAGGTTTAGTTTCCTATTTTAAACTACGGTTTTGGCCTATAAATATTAAGTTCATGGAATTGTAATATTCAGCTTGGGTTTAATATATTGAGAGTATTTTAGGCTGTGGCGGATGTGAGATTGTCTCCCTCTTGCGCTACTCTATTCTACATTAGGTACTTACTCAGAAAAAATAAGCGTTCAAAATTTGAAATATGTGAATCAGATTCATTTTGGAGTGACATACCAAATAATGTTGTAACACATCATTAAAATACAAAATCAATGGTCTATAACTACTAAGGACTATGAGTTTTTTTTTAACTTTCCTTGTCTGATTTTGAATTTAAATTAAGATTTATTGATGTGGATTTTTCATGAAATGGAGAGGATCTTGATCCATCCTAGACCTATGAGTTCATTTTGTCACATGTCTGTGTTTGTGTTTGTGTGTGTGTAAACTTGAACAACTTATGCTTGACAGTTTGATCTCAAACTGAATTTCTTCTTTCATGTGTGAGTGTGTGTTGTTTAGAATTTGCACTGCTTAAATTGGTTCATAAATTAGATGATTGATCAAACATAGAATCTCAACCAACTTACTATCTTGCAGGTTCAGTAGACTTCCATTGCTCTGATATCTGTAAATCAAAAGCTTTTCCTCATTAGTAGAATTGTAACCCACAAGAGGAAGAATGTTGGGATGCCCCAAATTCCCTATCCTACTCATCGTTTCGCCAAAATCCTCAAAAGAAACCTGCAATTTTTTGAGTCTCTTGACAGCAAACACAGCATTGTTCTTAAGCTTCACCTTGTAAAGACTGCTACAAAGCCCTTGACTCTGCAAATCCGCCTCAGCCTCAAGCAAATCTTCCATTTTGAACCTCTCTTCCTCTCCAACAAAGAACACGAGCTCTGACTGCCTCTCATCGGGCTTCACTTCCTCAACATCATTGGCCGGAGGAGGAGGAGGAGAAGTTTTGGCTGGGGATTGTGCTAAAGACCTCAAAATTTCCTTCTCTTTTGCCAATTTGATAGCTTTCATGTTCACAAAAAATATGAACAAGAAATAAAACCCAATGCAAAGTACTAATGGTATCCAAGTTATCCAATTTACGAATGCACTTTGATTTTTTGAATCAATTGTGCTACTCACAATATTCACTGGAGGATAAGCTTCCTGATCAGCATACTGTGGAGGAAATGCATTCAAAAACCTTAGCGAGAGCGTGGGGCTAGCATTGTAGTTCAAATGTTCGATAAAATGATTGTTAGAGATGTCGAACCGCCTAAGGCTCTTTAGCTTGCTTAAACCAATGGGTACACTCCCATTCAATAGATTGTTGCTTAGATTCAAGTATTTCAAGGTTGTGCAGTTCGATATCGATTCGGGTAGGTTTCCTTGGATGTGGTTTTGGGCCAAGCTAAGAACTTGCAAGTTTGGGAGCTTGCAAAGTGAGTCTGTGTCAATTTTCCCACTAAGATTCAAGTTTTCAAGCCTTATTGCTCTTATGGTTGTGCCATGGAAATTGCATTTCACACCCTGATGTGAGCAGGGATGTGGGACAAACCCATTCCAATCAATCCTTAGAACATTTTTGGGATCAATAGATTGACTGAAATTGAAGAAAGATTTGGATTCAGATTCAGATTCAGATTCTGATAACTCACCTCCATTGCAGACAGTGATCATGAAGATAGAGCAAGTTGCAATGAAGATGATGGTGGTGACAATGTCTCTCCTGCTCTGCATCATCAGTGTCTATCTAGCTATGAGTTGGGATTGTGATGGATTATTAATTCTTTTTGAGTTCTTAACAATGGTGTTTCAAGAATGGAGAGTTTTAGAATCATAAGCTTCTCATCATTCTTTTTCTGTCTTGGTTTGTCAGATGAGAACAATTGTCTCCATAGATTCCAAAGACTCCACACAGAAATATTGATCATTTTGAGATAACCAATGCCTTACACAAAGTTCATACAAGATAATGAAAAATATTAGTATAAATCCAAATTTCATATGATGTACACATTCATAATAAATCTAATTTATATTTGTTATTTTTAAAATAATTTTTCAAACTCTATAACATTGCTGTTAATAATCGTTGGTGATGGAACTTTGGATTATAATCATTGTATATTTGAGTTAGACAACATAGCAAACAAGAAAGTTTATTTAAATTGTATTAGGAGAAATCTATGTTTATCTTTTGGAACTTGGCTTCAATTTCAATTCCCCAATCCATTCTAGTAAAACAACTGTAGAAACACATGAAACAGCTCAACTAGTCAACTCTAATGTTTTTAAAAAATATAATATAATATAAACAAATTTAATATAATTATATCGATATCTTATCTAGTAAAGTTGGAAAGAAAATAAGTAAGATTATAAAAAAAATCAATGAAATTGAACTAATCGTTCAAAATGACTAAATTTTTTTGATTTTTGGTTAATTGTTTGAAATATATATGTGTTGCTTTATATTCTATATACTAGGGATAACCCGTGCCTGAAAGCACAACCAACAATATTTTTGGTATCACATCTGTTACAAAATTCAATTGTAATAAATCAATACGAAATGATAATATTATTTTAATTTATAACCTCAAAAATATTCATAAATCTCAAATATTAAACTTCAAAAATAAAGTTCAAATAATGAGTTTATTATTTCAGTGTAGCATAAGCAAAGAGTCTAAAAATATTTGCTAAAATCTAAGTCCAAAAAGCAAATTTTAAAATGACACATGTATAACAAACGTTCAATAAAAAAATATTACTGCATTAGTATCATAACAGGTAACCATTTCGCCTAATCAGATTTCAATACCTTTTTTTAGCGGATGAATGAATATTTTGATATAAAAGAGTAATCATCCTAGCTAGTCAAAAATAAAACATTAATCATCCCATTTAGAATGAAAGCCAACCAATGACACACCTAGAGTGTATTAACATCTCATATGTTCTTAAACTCATAGTCAAATAAAATCACATAATAAAAAGATCTTTACTGAATCACAAAAAATAGAGACCTCATGTCTCCGAACAATTTGATTACATGCATAACACTTATTTTCCATATTTAAGCAAGCATTGCAAAAAATAAATAATAATAAAAAAAGGTGGCACAATAACAGTTGAAATTTGAAATTAATGACAAAATAGTGCCACATTAGATAATATTTACCCAACAATTCCTTCTTCTTCTTCTTTTTTTTTCCAAATAAAATGTTAGAGAGGAGTCAAACAACTCTGACATGTCACCAAAATATTTTACAAAATTGACTCAACTTGAGAGATTGTAAGTTGCAACACTTGGACTCTAATCTTACCCTTCTAGCGAATGACTCGTGCCAAAAAACTTGTGTCTAAAAAGACTTGCATGCATTTTGATTTCTTCCAAAATCAACTATCCTTCCAATAACATATAAAAAAATCCAATCTATCTATATTATATATTAAGTAAAATGAGGTTTTTAACCCCCAAGGCCTGTGGGAGCTCCAATCTCTTAATCCTAATTTTCTAATTTTTTGATTTAAAAAAAAAATCTCAGCATTTATTGACTTCTCTCAACCTAACCTTAGCATTTATTGAGTTCTCCCAACCCACAATCCCTTTTGACTTCTCTCATAATTATTGCAACATCTTTTTCAATTTCTCCCATATACTATGGTTACACACAAAAATAAAAAATAAAAAAGATAAGAATTTAGCTATAGATCTCAAAAAGATATAACATCTAAATTTGAATTATGATTTAATAATATAATTATGTATTTTTTTTATGTATATCTATCAAAATTTTAAATCACTTAATGAGACAAATTAATCAATTTTCTAAAATTATTGATTTTTAATTTACAAACTAGATTAAAAAAAACTATTGACTGATTTATTTATTTAATAACAAAAATATTTCATAATCTCTCCCTCCTAATCTCTCTCACAAATTTTCAAAAAAAAATACTAAAACTTGAATTCATTTTCTTTTCTCCAAAAAATCAGATAATATTTTCTATTGAAGTTGTAGATATCTACCTATATTTTATATATTATATTATAACATAACAAAAAAAACTAAAATTTTTTTTTAAAGTTTATCTAAATAAACTTTAAATCAATAAAACTCACATATCTATCACATATCTAACTCACATCATAACTTACCTAAATAATAATAATTAAAAACAAATAGAAATCACAGATAAATTAAATTTTTAAAAAAAAAAGATACCCACAACTCCATCTTAAATAAATTGAAAAAAAAATACCCGAATAGAAACCACACAAAAATAAAAATAAAAAAAGAAGAAGATATATCTATCTATCTATCTATCTATACTATATATTAAGCAAAAGGGGGT